GTCAGCAAATGTGCAGACCAAAATTTTATCAACGTGGCATATAATTGTGAAGGCATGGCAAGAATGCATGCCTGTGAGTACAAGGTCCGTAGGTTGTCCTTGAAATCAAGCACCAATGATGCAACATTGAGGATCGTTGATACTAGCATGTCACAAGTTCGATCATTTGCACAATTTGGAGAGTCCAAGTACACACCTCCTCTTTCACTATTTAAGTACCTTCGGGTGCTGGTGTTTATATTCCCATTTACGAGGAGTACGATAGTCGACCTCACTGCAATCGGTCAATTGTTTCAGCTAAGATATCTGAAGGTTTCTACATTCCCAAGCTCAATAGATCTGCCTGCTGAAGTTCGCGGGCTTGTTCATTTGGAGACCCTGGAAATATCTGGTGGTGCACGAAGCATCCCGTCAGATATTGTTTGCTTGCCACGGTTGTCTCGTCTGATCCTTCCGATTCAACCATGTCCTCCTCAAGGGATTTCCAACATAAAATCATTGCGTGCACTACACTGTATGAATATCTCGCTAGAGGATATTAAGGGCCTTGGTGAGCTGACCAGCCTGAGGGAGTTGAGGATTTATACTGATGTGGTGGCGGGTGAAGTTGATGCTTTGGTATCCCTAATTGGAAAGCTCCATGGCCTAAAATACCTCAAGGTCAGTGCTTTGTCTTCTCAACATCATTGCGGCCCGATGTACTCATTATCCAACCCTCCTCTCCATATCGAGGATATTAAGGGCATTGGCGATGAGCTGACTGGTCTGAGAATGCTGAGCTTCTCTGGCAAAATGGTGGCGGAGGAGATAGTTGATGCTTTGGTCTCCTCAATTGCGAGGCTCCGTGACCTCAAATACCTCTTTGTCAGTGCTAATGGTGTGTTTTCTAAACATTCTTGTTGCCGGATGTACTCGTTATCCAACCCTCCTCTCCATATCGAGGTTCTTTATATGCTAGGATGGATATTGAAGAGAGTTCCCAATTGGATTGGCGACCTCCATTGCCTCCGCAGCCTGACTTTGTCGGTTGAGTAGCTATCGACTAATGAGGTTCACGTTGTCGGAAAACTGCCCTCCCTCATTGACATGTTTCTCTCTGTGTCGAGTATCACTGAACATAGTGGTGCCGCCAATAGTCCGCACAGGATTATTTCCAGTTCTGGAAGACCTTAGACTCGTCTCTGATGATGCTATGGTGAGTAAATTGCAAAAAAACATCACAATTGGGGACCCTAATTCAGAAAACCACCACCATTCGATTTTTTTTCAAAAAACCACCATCATTGTGCTAACAGTTTTGAGAAAACACTTATCACAGGATTAGAGATGTTTGACGCAAAATCTGACTGCTGGATCCCACTTGCAAGTGATGACATGGCATGAAAAATTGACTCCGTCCGCATGGACCGTTAACTTGATGTGAGCCCACTTGTCAGCATCTCCTATCTCTCTTCGTCCCTTTCTCTGGCATTCCATCGAGCAGTTCGTGAGCTCTCTGCCGGCGGCATCCGGACAAGGAAAGAGAACTGCCTGGGTGGCCGGTGCCGTTTGGATCCGTCGTCGGAGATGTCACGGATCGCTGGAGGTCGGCGGCAAGCGAAGGAAGCAGCAGGTGGCAGGCTACAGCCAGCGAGGTGGCTGGTCGTGGCCGACCCGGGCGGCGCGGTGCGGCAGGCGCGCCTGCGTCCCCCGGCGGTGGCAGCCACCGCCTCCAGTCATGCCCATCGGAGTGGAGCCGGGCTGGATCTCCTCATGCCCAGGAGCTGCCCCACAACGCCGGCGAGATCACGAAGTGAAGGAGCCCTGGCGCACAGCAGTGTGCAGCGGGGAGCCACGACGGTCTCCACTGGATGTCCCTCCCGTCGACCTGCAGGTGGGGGCTCAGGCGGGAGGACGAGGCCGGAGAGGCCCTGGTGCTTGCTGCCGTCGTGAGCTGGTATCCGCCGTTGCCCTCCCGCGTGCTGGATCCGGCGGTCGGCATGCCCGCTGGCACAGCGGGAGGTCGCATCGCCCCGGATCCGCCGTCGGGGCTGCGCTCGGGGCCGACACCGCTTGGATTCGTCGCCGGGCGGCGCACGGAAGCCGGCAGTGCTCGAATCTGTCGCCGGGACATGGAGAGTGGCGGCGGTCATGGAGCGACGGGGCAGTTGCCGCGCGGTGCCAGGCCGCGGCGGCTTTGCAGCGACGGTGTGGCGTCTCCGTTGACCCGGCCATATGAGACCTCCTCGTTCAGGCAGTGGGCGCCGCCGGCAGTTGGATCCTGGACGGCAGCAAAGGGTGAGTCGGGGTGGGGAGAGATGCGTGAGGTGGGAGGTGGGCCGGTTTAGTTTAGTAGCGGCGTTATCTCGTCCTCGCTACGTGGCACCTGACCATGGGACCCAGCGGTCAGTTTTTTGTCAAACGTCTCTAATACAGTGATAATCCAGTGATAAGTGCTTTCTGAAAATTGTTAGCACAATGGTGGTGGTTTTTTGAAAAAAATTCGAATGGTGATGGTTTTCTGAATTAGGGTGCTCAATTGTGATGGTTTTTTGTAATTTATTCTGCTATGGTATGCATGGAGTTCGAGGCAGGGGCGATGCCCAAGCTGCGACAGCTCCATCTACAAGTACATGATGGGTGGGGTGGTGCTACACCATTAGGGATGGAGCACCTGTTAGCCCTCGAGCACATCCGTGTAGGTGTCACATCCTCCGTCCACAAGAACAGTGATGTCGAGTCTGCCTTGAGGAGGGCAGCCGATGTGCACCCAACATGCCCTTCTGTTCAAATGTATTTATATGATGATCGGCCTTCTCTGTAATATAAATCTCCCCTTGTTGTTCTACTTATTCATTTACTCTTCTTGTATTTACCTGGTACACATTCTGTTTATCGCATAACTGCACTACATACCTTGTGATTTGTGATGTCAGAGTTTGCAATGATTTGGGCGGATCTGAATCTTGGCTAGCCGAATGCGGTTATTCCTGCATGATATGAATTGGTCATATTAATATCTACGTACATCATGTTGTACTATATGCAGATGATCTTGGATGCGTAGTCTGCACACTGTGTACGCAATTGCTGGATAATACGGTGCGAGCTGTCTATGTTTGCAACTAGACGAAGGCATGTCCATCCTTAATGTAAGCAGTTGAACATCCATATTTGAAGACTCGTCTTCATCATCCTTAATTGATTAATATACTGTACTAAAATAATCCAGGCGCATCAATCTTTTTGCTTTGAAATCCATAATTATTCGGTTCTACTGTTTTTGTGAAGCTTACCGGGTTCATCGGCATGCATTTAGTTTGAGAATATTCAGGATATAACCTGTGAAATATGCCCTAACTATCTTGTGGACCTAACTGTAATCCCGGTAGATCCCTCTAACCAAACAAGGCTTGAGGCACAAACCTGATGAATCACTGTAATAGCAGCGAAAATCCATGAAACCGAATTTTTCCTGACTCTAGTTTACCACAAGTTCCTGATCAATGCTTGCTTGGGAAAGCCAGACAACACCCTATGAACAGTCCCCCTTTTTCACATCATACGAACAGGCCCGTTCCTAGACTAAAAAATCCAAACAAGAAATTCAACAGCCATAAGAAGACTTAGTAGACTCCGATAAACACGGAGAAAAAAAGATTAAGATTAACCTGTACTGGAGAGCACGGAGCTAGGCTTCTTGGTCGGCCCACGATTAGTTCATGTACTGCGCCCCCACCTCAAGTCCCACGCTATCGCCATCACAGGTAGCGATGAGGAGATCGGAGGAAGACCATCATTTTTTTTGTGGGAATTTTCTTTCTGGCAGACCTGGCGGCTAGGGCTTTGGACGAGCAGAGCAGAGCGGAGCAACCGCTGAATCGTCGCGCGTCTTCCAACCAAGGGCGATCTCCCTCGCGTACGCGCAGTGCGGCATCATACGCTTTGGGCCAAGCCCAGCCCAGTCTAGCATCACCGGCCGAACGATTTGGGCGTATACGGACCCTGTCCACCTGAATACAATTATTTATTGGTGCACGAATTTCTCAAAAAAATATTATTGGTGCACGATCTAGTAAATGGACATATTTAATCGCTACATGCTGTTTTATGTGCAGATGACATTGGATGCGTACCACTTCTTTCATCAAAAGTGAAACCACTGTATACGCAATTGCTGGATTGTGAGAACTGTTAATGTTTGCAACTAAACAAAGGCATGTGCATCTTTAAAAATTGCTGTTTAAAATTGTAAAGCCACTGTATACGCAATTGTAAGCAGTTGAACATCCATATTTGAAGACTCGTCTTCACCATATACTGCACTAAAATAATCCAGGCGCATCTAACCTTTTGCTTTCAGATCCATAATTGTTTGGCTCTACTGTTTATGTGAAGCTTAAAGAGTTCATCGGCATATGCATCAAGTTTGACCTTTTGCTTTCAGATCCATAACTGTTTGGCTCCTGTTTATGTGAAGCTTAAAGAGTTCATCGGAGAATATTCAGATCACTACTTTAGTAATCTAAACGCTTTTATATTTGTTTACGGAGGGAGTACTTCTGAATACGTAACTGGCTCCAAATGTGGCTATATCGACATTCCGAAGAGGGATAAAAGAGTTTGTTTTTGGCTCCGCAAGGAAAGCTTAAATAAAATCGAGCTCCGAACTCTGTAGTGTGACACCATGAGCACAACTTTGTTCAAATCATTCAAATAGTCAGGTTACATGCATTTACTGCTAAAAATCACTAGCATGAAACACCAGCATAGAAGCTACACAGTACAAGGTTCAGCATGAAGAAAGAAAAAGTACCCCTTGGATCATATGGTAACAACACTGCCTCACCATCCCCCTGTGTTCCGACATTACCTACCATCTAGGATAGCCGGGAGCATGGAACAACGACGAAACTCAGGCCAAGTCAGTTTGGTTTCGCAGCACGGGAGGGCGCCGCCACATGACATCTACTTCGAGCATCAGATACAACAGCAGATACAACGCCGTGGAGGAACAAGAACTATGAAGATTGGTCCTTGGCGGCCTCCTCACTTTGGTCCTTGGCGACCTCCTCACTTGGTCCATCTCCGGCAGACGTCGTCGTTCCGTCCAAGAAGCGAACAATGACGACAGTGATGTTGTCAGCACTGCCCCTTTGAGAAGCTTCTTGAAGTAGTCCCTTCGCCGCTTGCTCAGGATCTTCTATTGGCTTGACCATGGCAACAGCTTCCTGGAAATTGAATATTTGGGTTAACCCATTGAAACTACAGGGAACTAGCACCATGTCAAGGAGAATCTTCAGTAAATATGCACTTACATCGTTAGTTACAACATCCCATAGCCCATCACTAGCAAGGATAAGGAATTCAAGTGAGCTGTCAACTACCTCCTCCTGTAAATAAATAAATAAATAAATAAAAGGCTCAATCACCAAGTGTATAGCCTTTATCTTCCCCTTATAGTAAGAAGGGGTGCCCATTGTTTCTTCCTTGCACAAAAACAATGAAGAACTTGGATGAAAAGTTACATTGCACTGGTCAATAAGAAATCTCTATAAAGAGACTACCTAGAATATCTAATCAAAAATCTGCAAGTCTAGGTTGTAGTTGAGAACTAGGCAAGGAAACAAAAGCCAAACCTTGATCTCTGGATCAGCGACAACATACTGCTTTAAAAGTTTGTCACCAAATGCTCGAGAAACAGCAAGAACACCACCAACACGCCATGTCCCTGCAAAACAAAGAGCAGTAAATAAACAGGAATGATGCTAGTAATAAAGCACTTGCTGAAGTAGGGAGTTTTTTAGGCCTCGTAAAAATACCAGCCCACATCACAAAGCCTCCAGCTTCCTCAATTCTCTGTCTCTCGTCTGTCTGGTCAGGTTTGTGATCCCTGGAAACCGCAATAGCTGAAATGGTGGGAAGCAGAAAACATCATGATCGTCTAACGCCAGTGAAATGAGATTACATGAGATTATGTTATGCAGTCAGTTTCAACTGCCATGTACCCATGGAGAAAAAACACAACCATATGAACTTTCCGATGAAACCAAGAGTGCACGAATCACAGTATTACAGACAGTGGGACTTACCCTTCCCTCCTTTAGAAACAACAGCTCTAGAATCACCAACATTTGCAACCACCAAGCGACCACCGACAAGAATAGCTGTTGAGGCAGTTGAGCCAGCATCTCTGGTGTGGCTACTATCAGCTTTCAGGAACTCTGAATCGGTATGATTGAATGTTTCAGCTGCAGAGAAGAAACACAAGGAAATCATGATCACACTCTGCCTGGGTAGAAATATTTAGGTTCACAATAGTTTATGAATGATAGGCATACCAATAGCAGCCTTTGTATCTGTCATGAATTTCGGATGCTTGATTAAATTGCTGAAAAGGTGCTTCTTCACATATTCAGCTGCTCGAGCTCCGCCGTGACCTGTATGAAAAGCCAACTATACTAGTAAACACAATTGATCAAGGAGCTGCTGACATATGAAAACCCTGAACAATTAATATAAAAATACTGGCACAAGGCAACACATACCATCAAATACGCCAAACAACCCAACAGTCTCTCCATCAACATCATCCACTCTTGTCTCGTAGAAATCCTCCATAGATGCCCTTTTCCCAGCACAGCTTGCAAACCCATAACTGAACCTGCCTTTTTCACTGCAATGGCAATTGGGGAAAAACAGTTAACAGAAGGTCCAAATTCACGGGCTCACAGCACCAATTATACAGCATTTCGTGTGAAACCAGATGTGTCATACTTCTGAAACACGACTACTTTCTGTACTTCCAATATATGAAACAGAGTATTTTGAGGTAACAAATTCCCATATTTGTCCTCACTTTCATCAAATTTTCTTCCGAGGTAGAAAAGCACATATGAGTAAATTGGTGGAGTCTCATAAATTACATGATTAAGTATCTCAGTATCTCACATAGATATGGTTAGACATGCCATGGATTTCTATCTGCTCCAATGATTATTTAATGAATCTCTTAATATATATCTCACTGTAACGCCTTTAATTACACTTATTCAAGACCGTGTGGACACGAAGATGTTAATACAGCAGCCAAATCAGATCGATATTTCATTTCCCCAGATCCTCACGGCAGGACTTCTCGCCCATGTGGCATGTGATCCCTCGGAGAATTTAGTACCCGAAAACACGAGCATGAAACTAAAATGACCCCCGAATTTATTTTCGCCAGTTGGACAGATCCAATCGAAAGGGCTGCCTGCCACCCGTAACCCATGCCCCAGACGAATTCGCCCATACCCACTCGACGCCCAGACCACCAGGCACGGCAGAGGCAAGAGGCAACCTACCGCGGCACGCTCGCCTCTCAACAGCTACGGATCTCTCCTCCTCTCCCTCACAGAGAGGCTACGGAACCACGCGAGCACCCATAACGGATCAGCGAGCCCCGCCGCGAGAAAACCAGCCACGCAAAGCAACCAGGACGCGCGGGCAGGAGAAAGGGCGGGCGGCTCACCTGATACCGCCACCGGTGACCGGCAAGTCGTCGCCCCTGAACCCCATCAGGGAGCACCCCTCGTCGTCCTCGCGGCACCACCAGCCGTGCGACCGCCCGGCGAGCAGGGACAGCGAGAGGAGCAGGAGCAGGAGCAGGGAGGCGGGGGAGGGGAGGCGCGTGGCGGCTAGCGATGGCCCCGGCGACCTCTCATGCAT